ACATGTGTGGCCATTCAAAGGTAAGATTGAATTCCAAGGTAAGTTTGAATTGCAGCACAAGCTCCTGTCCTAAGAATGATTTATTTCCCAGCTGGGACATAGGTTGGCTCTACTTGCAAGCTTCCAGCAGTATCTGTACAAGCAAAAACTCTGAGAGGAGGAGCAATAGCCTTGGCTTAATGGCCCTAAGTTAAGTATTTGGTCTGGAAGTAGCTGACTTGGATGTCTGGTCAGGTTAGCATACTTCTTTAGGGCAGAGGCTCTTGACATCTGTGGTCGTTGGCCTCTGTAAGACAGTGTTTCTGAGGACACAAGCCAAGATATTAGAGACCTTGCATGAAGTCTAGATGCCAAATTGATAATATGGGAGAGAAGTTTTGGCAAAGATCAACAGCCTTAAGGGTCAGAAGAATTGGTAACAGGAGGTGAACAAGGGAAAACTTTACTCATAATCCTCTTGAGGTGCCTTTTTGGCCTTGTTACGTTGCTACTAGGGAAGAGGACAAAGGGAGAGGAGGAACATTGGAAAGTGCAGTCTGACAGCCTCTGTAGGAGGTTTGGGGCAGTAAGGAAGGAGACGACTAGCAGCCCGTTTACAGTGTGGAGAGCCAGTGCTTGTCATGAGAGAAAATCACATGGGAAAGGCGGTTAGCAGGAACTTCATCTGTGCTGCTTTGTTCGTGTTAGACTCCTAAGAGGTTGAAGAACACATGTCTGAGAAGGGGCTCTGCCAAATTTGTTGAAGGGAGAAAGCCATTAGCATGGTTCCCCAAGCTAGGTCTGCTACCCATTTAGTCCAGAGCTGGCATCAGGAGCATAAAAGCCTAGCTGGGGATCAGAATATGCTTTTGCAGCTATGAGTATAGGGGAGAATTGGAATCTGGCACAAACCCTGGAGATGGTAAAAAGCCCTTGTGTTTGCAGTGAAATCCTCATGCCTGCTTTAAAGTCACAGTTCACCTTGTAAATAGGATAATATCACTGCAGCTTGTGATGTCTTTTCTGTTTGACCAGCATTTTCAAGTGCCATGGTCCCTGTTAGCATGTAACTGCAATTAGTGAACACCTGTGTTTTACCACTGCTCTTCTATCTGTTGCAATCTGATTAGGTCTCTGTGCCAAATCATTTTTGCAAGAATGAGAAGGCAGCAGCTGAATCTAGGCAAATAAATGTATGCAGTGAGTGCTCCAAACCTGTTTGAAGAGGAGTTGACACCAACATTTATTAAACCAGTCTTGATTTCACTTGCTCACTGATGTACCATGCAGTGTTACCTAGGGTTTGCTGCTGTTACCTAGGGTTTCCCTCAATAGGACTGCTCAGAGCATCACACACCAGAGAACAGGAATGGGCTTTGTTTATAATTTCCTAAGTATTTGTCATTTATCCTCTCACATCGAGCCTCTGTTCTGTTTCTGTGTCTAATGCTGGGCATAAAGGCAATTTCTGGAGACAGCTTTTTGCAAACACCATGGTCTCCAAACTGCCTGCAGACAATTGGGCAGGTTCCAAGACCAAGGCACCGCTGTGACCGTTGGTTGTGTCATTAGCGAGGTTTTCTGTGATTTGAAAAAAGGTTACAAAGTATGCTTATGAAAGAGGAAAATACTTATGCACACAATAATTGTTTATGGTTCTTGGCAGGTTTTCTGGTTAGCAATGACTATAGTGTACTGCAGATCCAAGCCTAGCAGAAGAGGTGCTCACAGAGAGCTACATCTCATACAATACCTGGCATAGCTGCCCTTCCTCAGCTGGGCTTTGCTTACAGCAACTCCATGTGTTCTCTCCTGTCCTAGTTCAACAACAGTGAGTGCTTGTTTGGTCTGGACAAGGTGCCTTTGGATTTTATAGCGTACACACATTCCATGCAGCTAGTGTAAAGGAATTGCATCAGGCACTGAGCAATAAAAGATTATCATTGCAGTGGTTTATTCAACACCTTTCTCATTCTTTCTTCTCTGTGCTTGGGAATTAGGCAGTATCCTGACGTGAAACTCCCTGCAGCATTAACTTGCAGTTTGTGGCTATCCCCCTTCCGAGTGGGTAGTTTTGGAGTTTGGCCAGTTGTAGCATTGCTTTTTGCTTTGGACTGGAATGGTGTGGTTGCCTATTGCTAAAAAAAATGCTTATCTGAGTTTTATTGATTACAAAAGCTATGCAAGAATTTGGCCAAGAAATGACATGATCTGGGTGAGCTTTGTGGGGATCACATCCCATCACTCTCACCTGTATAACGGTGGCTTTTTAAATAGCCAGAATACTTACGCAAGAATCAATCACAGCCATGTTTTACTGTTCATACTTAGATTCACCAAGACATCGGACTGACCAACCACGTGCCTTTGTTGAAGAAGTCTCTGGAACAATTTGTGTACCGAGTGAAGGCAATGCTGGCCTTCAACCACTGCCAGGAGGCATTTTGGATGGGTGTCCTTAAAAATCGGGATCTTCAGGTGAGAATCGCTGTCCTGCCTGGGGCAGTTAAAACCTGGGAGAAGACAGTGCTCATCTTGCCCATACGCCTCTGCCCTTGTGTGTGGGTAGGGCTAAACGGCCAAATTCAGTGTGACCATGTTCCAGTCTTGTCTAGTGCTGCAGGAGGAAGTGTTTTATTCCAGGATGGAGGATCTGTGCCTCTGGGGGCTTCCTTGCAGCCCAGCTCTTGCACTGAAGCAGTCAAGTTTTATTGTTTGTGGTGAAGGGGTGGGGGTACTTGGTGACAAGGACTGCATGCAAAGAAGGGAAAAGATACAGGTCACTTGAACACCTCTTCACACGCTCTGGTGTGTGGATTTAACAAGCCAGTTCTGGCTGGTTTATTCATCTTTCACTGTAGAAGCAGGACAGTCGAAACAAATCTGGGCCACGAAGATGCTCCAAGGGTGGAGCAGCTGTGCTCTGGAGACAGGCTGAGAGAGCTGGGTTGATTCAGTCTGGAGAAAAGAAGGCTTTGGGGAAACATTAGAACAGCCCCTAGTGCCTAAAAAGGGGCAACAAGAAATCTGGAGAGGGACTTTTTACAAGGGCTTGTAGGGACAGGATAAGGAGGAATGGCTTTAACCTGGCAGAGGGAGGACTGAGATTAGATATTAGGGAAAAATCTTCTATGAAGAGTTCTGTGAGGGTGGTGAGGTGCTGGCACAGGTTGCCCAGAGAAGCTGTGGTTGCTCCATCCCTGGCAGTGAAAGGCCAGACTGGATTAGGCTTTGAGCAACCTGGTCTGGTGGAAGGTGTCTCCTTGATGCGTGGATTGACTCCACAACTCGTTAAAGTTGTAAAGTAGGTATGCTTTTTATTCAGCGCTGAGACGCACGGGGATAATTCCTCAAAGTCATGCGTACCTTAGTGTTGTTTCCCTCTACATTTATTCTCTAAAGTTATATATATTCATAAGGTTGCACAACACGCCTATACATATTCATGTCCTATCTGCGCTTCGTATTATAATGAGCCAGAAGGTCCTCTGCGCCTGCGCAGTGCCCCCTCTGGTCATGGGCAGGGGTCTCAAGATGAAGTAAATGACTCCTCCTCCTCTGGGTAGGGGTCTTCAAGATGAAGTAAATGAGTCTTCCTCTTCTTGCACTTTTCACCTTTTTTAGTCTTTACGTGTGGCCTTAGAGTTTGGTCAGTGTCCCAGCCGTAAATCCTCTACTTCTCCCCTTTATCAGTAGAGTTTGATCAGTAGATTCAGGCGTCTGCTTATCAACAGGACCGGAGGTCTCTGTTCTGCTTAGCAGGCATTTACAACAGATAGTCCTTTTGTTTAAGCAAGCAAATTCCTCTAACCCCCTTGTATAACCCCCCCCTGTACTACCCCCCTGTACATTGGTCAACCCTCTGTATCATCCTGGAACTAGATGATCTTTAAGATCCTTTTTAACCCAAACCATTCTATGATTTTAAAGCTTGCTTTTGACTCAAAGCTTTTATTAAGATGGTAACAAAATGCTGCTTTCTTCCACCCTGGCATGCGTTGTTTGCCTTGCATAAGCTCAGTACGGGTTTTCTGCATTCACCTTAGGGAGAAGAAATCCTGTCTCAAGCTTCTGGAGAGAGGGGCTCCGATGAGGAGGACTCTGCAGAAAGTCCTGCTGAGGTACCGCCGCTCGGGCGACTCGGTTCTAACTCGTTACACCGCAGAGGCGGCGGGCCGTGAGTGTGCGTCTGACGGCGGTGTTCCCTGCAGGAGCTGAGCGGGAGCAGCACGGATCCCAGCGACGACGGCGAGGCAAGGGCGAAGGGGCCGGGCTCTCCGGCGGCGCGCTGACGGCGCGGGCGGGGCCGGAGGCGTGCGGGGCGGGGGTTGCGGGGCGCAGGCGCGGCGGCTGTGGCGGCGGGGCGGCCATGTCGGTGCAGGAGGACCCGGTGCAGCGGGAGATCCACCAGGACTGGGCCAACCGTGAGTACATCGAGGTGATCACGAGCTCCATCAAGAAGATCGCGGACTTCCTCAACTCCTTCGGTGAGGGCGGGGGGCCGGCGGCGGGGTGCGGGTGTCTCCGGGCCGGGCGCCCGCTCGGGATGTCTCACTGCCGCCTCCCCGCAGACATGTCGTGCCGGTCCCGGCTCGCCACGCTGAACGAGAAGCTGACGGCGCTGGAGCGCAGGATCGAGTACATCGAGGCCCGGGTATGCGGCGGGGCTGGGGGGGGGGGGGGCAGTCTATTCGGGCTCTGGACCGGCCTTGGCTGAGTCGTTTTCTCTTCCCGCAGGTCACCAAGGGTGAGACGCTGACATAGGCCCGGGTGGCCCCGGTCCCTGCCCCACCAGAGCACCGCTGCCCTGCCCCGGGCCTGCCTCCGCCGCCACTGCCGCCTCTGCTTGTGTTGCCAATAAACCGCTGTGCTCCTGCCCTGCCTGCTCTCTGCCTGCCTGCCTGGGGCTGGGCCAGGGATGCCTGGCTCACTGCCACCATCCTGGATGTCCAGAGTCAGGCCTTCCATCTACCTGACCTGTGGGGTTTGGGACTGTGTTCCTTGCCACAATGGGGGCTGTGATGGGAGGGAGTGTGCTGCAGGGGCTGCAGGCCTGGCATGCTGTCAGCTCCATGAAGTACCTGACCAGCCTTTGAGGTGCTCTGTGCTCCTGCTGCAGTCACAGCAGAAAACCTGGTGATCCTGATGGTTTGGAGGGTGTCTAAGCCTTCCTATGTTCATGCTGTTGGGGCTGTGTTGGGGACAGGCTCACCTACCCTGGAGTGCATCACATGCCATAGGGGAATGTCTTCTCTCTTGGGAGGCAAGTGGCAAGTAGAAGAAATCTCTTTTCCCTTCCCACCACTCCTCTGTGTGTTTCAGTTTTTCACTGAGCATCTAGAGCTGCAGACTTGCAGGTCATATTTAAGTTGTTGGAGAGTCCATGGAGTTGGTGTCAGTAAAGGCTTTACTTCCCAGCAGGCTTTACATGTTTTAGTATGTTCTCCAGTTGACGTCAGGTGGTTGCTCCTCAGCATAGGTCTTCTGAGTTCACAGTTTGTTCTCTGTAGGATGCTCTGTGTTTTCCATTGAGTAAGTGCTCCTCCAGCATTTCCCTCAGATCACATAGCCAGTTACACTTTACTGTCAAATTGGGCTGCACATCCAGGAGGCTTAGGTGCTTCTGGTGTGTAGTCCCACCAGAAATAAGTGCTTTGTAGCAATCCTACAGTACTTAGAGGAGTCGAGTGGAGCAGTCATGGATCATTGCCCTTTTGCTCGGGGGTGATACCAAATGATGAGACTGAGTGCTGTCATGCAGGATTGGCAGGTAGAGGGAAAGCACCTGTCTCTTTCCTCGGAGGCAGCTGCTCTCTGGCCCAGGTGCATCAATAGTATGCCTGTGGTCTGTGTACTATTCATTCTGGATGTGCTGGAGTGGAGCTGTGAGATCTCTGTCCTCTTGGAGAACTCTATACTTGTCTGTACAAGTCCCTGAGCAGATTGATCTCTGACTGAAGGTGTGTGTGTGTTTTAAGGAGATAGAGACTACCAGAGGTCCCAGTCTAGATTATCCTAAAATTCTTAACCCAAAGACTGAATGGGAGACAGAGGGTACCACAGACATCCCTGGGATGGGGTCTGTACCAGGCTGACCACCCGAGATCTGTTTCTTGTTCCTGATCCCACCTAGTAGTATGGTTTGTGTCTCTGATCACTTGGTGGTTCTCTGACAGGCTGTTGTAAGGCTGTCACGCTGTTGCTCCTTTTTCCCTCTGACCCCAGTGTTTCTTGGAGGAATAGGTGTTGGCATACAGTTGATGTGTCCAAAGCAGTTTTGGTATAGGGCTCTGTCTTCCAGAGGGTACTGCTCCTCTCTGGACACATGCTGTCATAGAGCTGGAGCACTGGGATCAGCCTCTCTGGTTCATCTCCCAGGAGGGATGCTAGGCAGCTCACTGCAGTTCAGGGTCCTGCGCTTTTCCCTTTCAGAGAGTCTCAGTAGTTCCCTTGTGCTTTGCAAGACCAGGCTTCTGCTCTGGGTGCTGCTCACTCCAGCCCATCTCTGGGAGGAGGGGAAGCTTCCTGGTGCCTGGACTTACACTGCTACTTACAGTACCTGGTCTGGTGTGCAGCCTTGTTAGTAGATGGAGCTTTGATCTCTTTGATTGTTTTAAAGACTGGGGAATCCTGTTTGCCTTTTTTTTTCTTCTTGTACTGTGTTTTTCAGAATATGATGTTGCAGGAACTCACATTAAACTTTTCTGGAATAGATTTGTGTATTCTGCATCAGGAGATTGATTTACTTGCTGTGTTAGTGGTGCTGTTCTCCCTGCCATACGTTTAATGTAGCAGGAGCTGACAGGGTGCTTTCCTTTTGCTCTGGGAGAGCTGGGTGCTTGGACACCCTTGCTGCTATTGTTTGTAGCTGAGATATTTTCCCAGAGCTTGGGCTTGGGAACAAGCTGGTTTGAAACCTCTTAGGAAGGTGCCAGAATGGTGCAGTTTCATTAGAGCATGAGCTGCATCTGTAGTTTGAGAAAGGTTTGCACTCTCAAATGGTAGCAGTGTGCTTCTAGTGCTTGCTGCCTGCAGGACAGGCAGCCCAACCTCATGGATTGGTCAGAGGAATCCTGCAGTCCTCGTTTAAGTAACAGTTTGGGAATGAGTAACAGTACTGAATTCTGATCTTGGACAGGAGCTGAGGTGATACGGTATTGGCTACGATACTATTTTTCTGATGTCAGCACAAGAGGGAGAAGCTTTGCTTACATCACAAAGGTTGTAATGTCCAATCAAAAGCACGTAGTTTTGGACCAGATCTCACAAATAATCCTAGTTTCTAGTAAATAACCTTTGGGCTCTGTGGGTACTGGTGCTGATACAGCCTTGATATTTGGAAACATCTTAAAAACCATATGTATCTTCATCCCTTCTGCATTGAGATGATTGAACCTGATAATTCAGTGATCGGAGGTGATCTCAAGAGGGGAATGTGTTAGGACACAGCTGAGTTGTCAATGAGCTGGAAAACTCACAGGGGTATGAAAGGTTTCAGATTCACTGACATCTTTTCCAGTTTGCTAGACCAGGAGGATGGAGGTGGGAGGGGACCCCAGGGAACTGGAGGAAGAGAAGAGACACTTGAGTGAGAGCAGGTTTTGTTGCAGGTTGCTCGTGGAAGGCTGGTGGAGGGGTGCATCAGGAGAGTGCCCTCAGACCCTACGCTGATGCCCTGTGCTTGCTGCAGGACTTGGGGGCTCAGCCAGGCAGCAGCTGGGAGCAGTTCATTGCTCCCCACTTCTCTAGCAGTCAGCAAGCCTCTTCCTCAGATCCCTGGCACCCCAAGCCTTTTGGGAGCAGGGCGAATATTTTGTGTAGTAGCAATAGAATTGCACTGATGACATGATTATAGATGTGATGAAACAGACATTCAAATTCACCACCAGGAATGTAATAAACTACAGTTTAAACTTACTAGAAACTGGCATGTTTCTGGACAGGGTTTGGAAAATGTTCTCCCCTTGGTGTTACCTTCAGTATCTGCAAAGACCTTGGTGTGAGCTAAGGAAGTGCTTTTTCCCAGGCTCCAAAACTGCAGGCCATTTTTGTTGCAGTCTGGTCAGGGAAAGAAAGAGCTCATGGAAAGTGCCAGAGCCAGGTCTGCCTTCCTCCTGCTGAACCAGACTGAGTTTGCATTTCAGAGAAATGCTTCAAGTGTGAGAGAAGCAGAAACTCCAACAGCATCTGCCTTAATCAGCTGGGGTTTCTGCTCTGGAGGGCTGAGCATCTGGAGGAGATGTGACATTCAGGGTGGCGCTGCCACCTTCCCCTCTCTGGCCTTTCAGACAGACTGCCATTTATCTTCTGGGTTTCTGCATAAAAAAAACTTAGTGCATTTCCACAAGAAATCTGAGCTGTGAAATGCCACTTTTGCTGTGGAGCTCAGTAGTCTGCAGGGCAGACTGTAGGCACAGGACAGCTGCTTAACAGCTCTGTAACTCAGCCAAATAATGAAAACCTGTGAGGCTCAAGAAAGTGCAGAGTAGTCTGCTGTTAGGAGCGTTAGCACTGGCAGTAAGGAGAAACAAAGAGCAAGGTTTCTCTGGAGTCCGTCAGTAGGGTCTGCAGCATGCATAAATTTCGTCTTGTGGATCTTCAGTCTCTGTTGCCACTTTTCAGTAGTTATTAGACACCAGACATTTTAAATGTAAATAAGAAAATTTTACTGTAAGAGTATAGCTGTGGCACCACTTACAACACATCATATTAGAAAGCTTCTAACAAATTTAAAGAAAATGTGATTTTGACTAGAAGTAAAAGTTTAAGGAAACAATAAGAAACAGTCAGCCATAGAGGTGAGCACAGTGTTCTGCTTCGTTCTTGGTGTTCAGGAGAGATGCTAAAAGATTTGTATAGAATAAACTAATGCTTGTAGCTAAACATTAAATAAGGCCTAGTTCTTACATTTAGCAGGCTTTAGCAAAAATGTGACTGTATTAGTTTGAAATATTAGGGTAATAAGTTATTATAGCAGGTAATTCCAGAGAAGGGACAGAATGAGAAAAATCATCTCCAAAAGCAGTAAGGTACAACAGGATCCACTCTCCCATGCAATTCTGCAAAAAGTTACGTGGCTAAACCTCGGACTTCCTCTCAGCTGAGCCAAAGGCAAAACGGCTGCTCTCTTGTGATCTCCCCACATAAGAGGGTGTTACTCATTCAGTGAGAGTGTGGAGGGTTAGGAGAGTGCACTTATTACCTGTTGCTTTTCTGTTCTTGTTCTCTCTCAAAGGTGTTCAGAGTTCAACAACAGAAAGGTATCTCTTAACTAGCTGTAGCCTGCAAGATGCAGCTGGCAGGGAAGCATAATCCTCCCTCAGTTACTCTTACTTTGTTGTCTCACAACAATTGTTTAAGCAGAATTTATTTAAAGGAAAAAAGAAAGTAGCAACTAAGTAAATGCACAGAAGGGACTAATTCAAGCAACCCTCTGGATAAAAGCAGGGTAGGGCACAATGTGTCAGGGGAGTGTTTTAATCTGTCAGAAATGTGATGATTAAACGAGCAATTACTGCTTTGAATACGTACCAGCACTGGGCCCCTCCTACACTCACATAGGCGTATTTCTACATTTCTTATGCAATCTGACTGGGTGACAGACCTGCACACACACTGTTCCTAATTACTGTCAAGCAGAGAGCTGCTTTTGTGTCTCTGAATCTCTCCTGGAAGTGATTTTTCCAGCGTACATTCACCATTTCACCATTCACCTAACTCAAGAGGACAGTTCCCAACAAAGGGCAAAATAAACACATGTAATGCATGATAAAGCAATTAATTAATTAGATAATATTCTCCCAGCAAAAGCAGATGGGATGGTATTAGCTGCTTTGAGTGTTGAACATAAAGTAATTAAATACGTCAGGGTAGGTGAGACAAGGCACTTGAATGGGCACTTAAGGAAAACCAGTGAAACTCCCTGCTTTAAAAAACCCCAAGCAATCAAAAAAAAAAAGTACCCAACTGTCAAAGGAGAAGTTCAATGCACACCTCCTACAGGAAGTACAAATTACTTTCTCTGGGTCCCAGTCTCTCCAGAAGCATTGGTACGTGGAGATCAGAGGGAGCGTGCACAACCTGCTCTTGCACACTGCACCAGGGTGAAGCCGTTAGCTTAATTTGGCAAATGCCTCAATGTGACTACATACAAGAGAACTTTTGTACCTGGCAAAGGTTCAGGTGGAAATCTAAGGGTGCATGGTAAGGCCTGAGAGACCCCTGGTCATAGTGAAAGCAAAAGCTAGGCTGGGGAGGTTTGCTTAGGAAACACTAGTATTTTCTTTGCCTCAGCTGATGCAGTTATTGAGATTCCTGTCTGGTGCTAAAGCAGAGCAGGTTGGGGAAATGAGGGCTGGCCCAAGCGGAGTGGACCTGGGAGTAAATGGTAAACTGAGGAGCAGTAAACGGCCCCTCGTAACCTGGGTGGCTCCTGGCAGTCAGTGCAGGCTGCTCCACTTTGTTCTTACCCCAGCCACCTGCAAACACAGCAGGAGATCATGCTGGACCTGACCTCTGCTGGCAGTGTCCAGTTCCTGATGAGTGTGGTATGAAACCCACCCATCTCCTTGCTTCCTGCATAGGCCATTGCCTATGGGGACACTCTGGGCAGGAGGGCAGCATGCCCTGGCCTCCAAACTGCCATCATGGAATCCCCATGGGCCCAGGCCTCCTGCCTCAAAAGGGGCACAGTGCAGCTGTAGGCAGGGCTGGGGGTCCCAGCTAGTCTGGGCTGCTGAGTCAGTCCAGGAGGCCACCCAGCTCCTCTGCCGCACACCATAGAGGGATCAGCCCTCGGCTGCTTCAGCAGAGCTTGGGGACACGGAAAGCGCTCAGCTCCTCCCACCGCTCCTGGAGCGTGGCTGCCACCGGGCAGGGGATGATGTGGAGCAGCCGCCGCTCTCCTTGTGAGTCAGGACGGCCGCGTGAGGCCCCGGCGCTGGCCCCGACGCCTTCCTGCCCGCCTGCTATCGAGTGCCTGCCCCGGGATCCTGAGCCACCACATGGCCCTGCAGGTAATTGCCAGGGAGGGGTTCGGGAGCGTCGTGTGGTTGAGACTGAGGGCGTCTGGGGGTTGCGTCTTGGCTCTCGGTACACTGCTGGGTTGTTGGTAACTCCCTGAGGTGTCACACTGCTTTACAAGGGCTTGTGGTGCTGTGGGTGTGAGCCAGAGGGCTTCCCTGTAACCTCGGTGTCTTCCTGACTACACTTACGTATCTTCTAAAAAAATATATATATATTTTTTGTTTGGTTGTTTGGTTGGATTTTTATTTTTTATTCTTTTTTTTTACAAAATCCTCCTGGCAATCCCTGCACTTTATGTGTAGATGAAGACTTGTTTGCCTTAACTTTACTCAGACTACAAACATGAGCTCTTCTTGCTTCTGATGAGCTCATTTTCTTCCTTTCAGAGCTTTCCAAGGACTACAGAGAGGAGCACACAGAGCATAAGGAGAAATACAAACCAGGTAATTTCCAGCTGTGTATGTAAATGCATATGGGAGCACTGACATTCTGTTTCCAGCCCAGCTGGAAAACAGGCAGCAAACCAGCTCAGGTTGGCAGCAGCATGGCCGCCATGTCTGGGCTTGCTGTGAGAGCTGAGGGAGGAAGCACCGGTGCTGTGGCAAGGGGTGGATGGGCTATGACTACTCCCTGCTCACTCCGTGGGGCCAGTCACAAGACTTTTGCTACTTCTCTGTCGCATTTCAACCATATTTGACAACAGGAAGGCAAGCAGAAGAATAGCAGGGTTATCTTGCTGGTGGCATTGCCCAAGGAGCCTAGTATAGGAGCAGTTTCAGACTGAGCTTGTGTGGATCAGTTTTTTGTTGTCTTGCTGGAAGAAGCTACCAGCTTTCAGCATAGCCACAGCCCTCCAGGACATTATCTGTGGAACCAGCTGCTAGGACCTACCTGATACTTGCAGGTGCGCTTTATGAAGTTGGTTTGGTTTGGTGTGAGAAAAGGGCAGAGAAGGACTTAGTGTTTATGTTTAAAGTAAAATTTAGCAAGATTTGTTTTCATCATGTAACTTAAAATGAAAGGTGAAAGTAGTTCCAAAGGAAAAAGGTTTACGATTAGCTGTTTTTTGTCTTGAAGCAAAAAGTTTTATTTCACTTTATTTGTATTTTTTGCTATCCCATTGTACAATTTCACTCAGATATATATCATCAGCAGCTAAGCAACAAGTTGTTGTGTACAGTGGTTATTGACCTCACTTTCTAAACAACTAGGAGAAGTCTGCACACAAATCTTATTCTGATATGTTAAAAAGACCTCACTGCAATTAAGTTCTGATTTACTGTGGGGGAAAGCAAGATGATGTCTGTTGTTCATGTCATTCCTCAGTGAGCTCATGGTGAGGCTGGAATCCCAGTCTGTCATCATCTTTCTCTCTTTATGAAGTATAATCAACTAAATCACTTTAAAAGCATACAGTAATTAAGTGCCTGTATTTGTCCTTTGTTTAGATCTGATTTTCTTTCCAGAAGAGCCACAGGGGAATTAATTGTCCATAGTCTAACAGAAATTAGGTACCCAACTTCCTTATTTACGTAAACCTTGGTGACTGGGCTTTGCTATGCTTGGAGGCACAGAAAGGAAGATGGGAGCAGATGCTGGCTGTTTCTTTTGTGGCAACCAGGACTTATCATAATGGGGTGCATAAATGCATTAGGCAAATGTGCTTCCACTGGTACAGCTGAGCAGTCTGGTCTTAAAGTAAATAACTCTGAGAGCAAATGAGGTTGACAGTGTTTCCTCTGCCTTCAGTGTTGAATCTGCTCTTTGTGTTTGGTGGGACAGATATGCTAGTGCCTACCTGCTCATTTTGTCTTTGGGATAACACAAAGCCAGCATAAGGCAGCTGCTGCGGCAGGCTCATGTCATGGGAATAGCAACATGCATCAAATGTGCCAATGGAAGTGGCTTTCACTAGGTATTAGGAGCACCAAAGACAAACCTCCTGAATTTCACTCAACAGTAAAATATGTGGATTGTTTATAAATATGTTTATGAAGGGCAATTCATCAGTTAAAAAAGAAATTTTTATATTTAAAGTAATTTTTGTCCCTTTAGGCCTGATGTTTCAACCGTGCGTTCCACAGAGAGGCCTAAAGGGTATAGCTTACAAAAGCAAACATTGTTGCAAGGTGTAAGATGAGTAAATAGGGAGACAAGAAAGATACTGAGAAAGGCTGAAAACCATAGCTGGGGATACACAATGACACAGAAATTACACTCTTTATTGTGCAGCCAGGAACGAGTTTATCCAGGGTGTGTTATATTGGGTTCCTGTGTTTCAACACTGGCTGTTGCTTACAAGGGCAGAGACGGCAGATGCATTTCCTGCATTCCCTATCGGGTGCTCACAGTCTCACATTGCCTGCCTTTGTCACACAGTGCTGCTGCCGCAGCTGCAGCAGCAAAGGCTGCAAGTCAGGCAGGGCTTGTGGGAGAGGTAAAAAATTCTATTAGACTGATGGATAGAGTTCAAAGCTTGTCTGTCCAAAAACTTGCCAGTCTTTCCAGGTATTATATCAGGTGGTTAAATACAAGGTATTATCTGCTGTTGTAGGTGCCTTGCATAGAGTTATTATCAGGAACAATTTAATTGTTGTTTTCTCACAATAGACCTAGGAAGGCAGGTAAGCAGTTGTCTGGGCTTAGCCTTTTGAAGTGGATAAAAGGATTGTGTAACTTTCCCAGAACCAAACAGCAAACCAGTGGCTAAAACGAGTTTCAAACTAAGGACCTTATCACTTGAAGAGCACTTTTGCAGGCTAGGAAAGGAGAAAGCCCCTGGGAAAACCAACATATCAGGAATGTGGGACCTTGGCCCTTGTTCCAAAAGGTTTTGCAGCTATTTTGGAGTCTCTGTGTCTAATTTCTTTTATCTGAGAACTGATATGCTAAAAAGTTGTTCTGTTTCCAGAATGAAGATAGGTTTGCATGTGTGTTACACTGTACTTCTGAAGGTATTCTCTGGGCCTGGTTTGGGTTTTGTATTAGAATATTTTTCTGACTGATCTGAGGGGGCTTTAGAGAACTGAAACTGCCTGTTGGAAAAGAAACAGTTCTCCATCTGGAAAGTTTAAAGGAAATACTTAGGTATCAAACCGCTTGATTGGAAGTGTTTTGTTGAATGGACTCAAGTCATATTGTAAGAAAATGTGTATGGGTATAAATGGTTTTTCTGTTGTGCCCTGCATGGTGGAAACTACTTCAGGCTCCCAAGAATTTTTGCATCTCTTAGTACAGTAGTATCTTAGCTGAGATGCTGCATGAGAGGGGATGCAGTCAGAGCAGGATACTGGACCATGGTGGGCAGAGGCAACTGTTCAGAACTACAAAAAATGCATCATCAGAATAAAACAGCCTCAACCCAAAATTTCTGGGGAGAGTTTAGCAAAACAAAAGGAAATATTGAATTTTGGAGATGTCAGAAAGCTTTGTTTCTGTGAAAATACCAGTGAGAAGTCTGAGATCGACACAATTTTTTAATTCATAAACCTAAGGTTAGTGGAAATTTTCTTTCTATGACAGCCTGGGAAGAACAGATGTTGAAGTGTCAAAGTCTTCTGAGTGCCAAGGGTTCTAAATCTTGCAGGGTCTTCCTATGAACCATTGTCACTGTCTTCCCTAATTAGTACATTGTAAGTATAAGGATGTAAAAGGCACAGAATAAACATTGCTTTGTGAATAGAACAGGGCCTGTTACTCACATCTGTTGTAAATAGTTAATGAGGCATCTTGGTAGTTGTAAAAAAACCACCAACATGAACGATCAGGTCATTTCTTTTCATTTTACTCATGCTGATCAGACATTTGTTCTTCCTTAATAACCAAAGGCCAGCTCAGCAAGACTCACTCAGAGGTGTCCCCAGAAGGTAAATGAATCATGATGTGAAACTCCCATTGCAACAGAGAAGGGATTTCAAAACTAAAGTGCCTACAGGTAGATGCCACGTTTTCAAAAAAGCAAATCTAACTCAGAAAACCAGAGATCTGTTTCTAATACGCTTTTTTTCCTCTTTTGAACAGGCACAGCAATGGAGAACTTGAATGCCCTACTCCCAGACCTTACTGAAGAGCAGCAAGGTGAGTGTAGTGCATGAAGATCAAAGTTTAGGCTCATTCATGCTACACAGCAGTGTTTGCTAGAGTGGTTATGAGTCAAGGAAACTTGTTTCCTCTGAAAACACACTCCATCCATCTCCTTGCTTGTAAAAAGAGACCAGCAGTCAGTTCCCAGCTCTTCCACAGGCTTCTCGTCAGGCCTTAAGTGTGTGCTGGTGGGAATTCAGATGACTGAAGTAGATTTTGTTGTGCATTAAATGCCTGATGAGGTGTCTCAATAACCTGGTATCCAGCCCTTTCTGCCTGTCTGTAAAACAGCATGGTCGGAATAAGTATCCATTAAATAGCCAGGAATACTTCCCCTGCTTCTCTGAGACAAAGGCATCAGTAATTTGTATGGGGTGTTGACATTTTTCTACTGATTTTTGCCAGACTGAGTTGCTTTACATAACACAGCACTGCTGTTTCCTCTACACTCATGTGCGGATGCTGGGCAGTGTATTGAGTCTGATGTCTGTCACCATACCTGTGCTCAGCATGGTAAGAGCACTGCCCTGCAACCCACCTCTATTGCTGCACAGTGATTTGTTTGTTTTCCCTTCCAGACATTTTCCAGAGGGCTTTTACTGCTGATGCCAGTTACTTGCAGAATCATGAGGAAACAAATAAGTCCTTCTGGGAATCACTTGTAAAATGTTTAGCCGCTATCGATCCACCTGTCCTGAGTACTGAAGACAAGAATGTAAGTTAACTGAAGACACGTGCATCCTTTGAGAAACATTGTTATACAGATACTTTTGTAATTTGGAGAGAGAAAACATACAGTCTAATTAGTTGATATGCTAAAACGTATCTAAAATATGGAAGTGCTGTAAGAGGGCACTTAGATAAATGAGACTCAGGTCCCTGTTTTTTCCTTCATTGTTCTCCATGCGCAAAAATAACTGCCTTTGTGTAAACTCCTCAGGATCTGTCCAGCTCAGTTTTCAAGGCAATACCATTGTTAGTGACATTTTTGCTGTAAGATACTGCAGAGATTCCATGTCTATTTTCACACCCTGTATTTCTGTAGCTCTTTAGACAGTTAACTGTTGTACACAATGTTTTTTTTCAAGTTTATGGCTCAGCTATGAGTTGCTGAATGGAGTTTGCATTCTCTTCCCATCTTTGGCATTACTCTGTCCCTGATTTCCCTGTTGTGTAGTAGGATCAGGGGATTACCTTTCCAACAGATGGGGCAGGATACATTCATTTATATAGCGGGGCATGTTTTTACAGGTTATGTTTTGTTGGTAGGACTGTTTGCTATTTACTTACTTTTCTTTCAGCTCGTCAACAACTGCAGTGTCCCGCCTGCAGGCTGTGCAGCCTGCCTGAAAGCCATAGAGGAGGAAGGAGTGAGGGCCATGACTGTTCTCTACCTCTTGCTGAAGACAAGAAACCCATCTGGATACAGGGAGCTGCCCAGCTCCAAGGGAAAGGGTGAGTCCTACCCAGCTGCACATCAGCTATTTTATCAAAATTACTGCAGTGCCAGTGGGACTTGACATTAGTTTGAAAATGCTTGGAAGTGATTACTAGTGAACAGCTAAAATGTCTAAAGTACTGCTTAGGAAAGTCAGTTAGGCATGGTGATAATGGGAGCCAAAGACAGTATTTTACTTTAGTTTGATTTCACTTCTTCTCAGGGAAAAAAACACATGTATTCAGGGAGAGAGGATATCCTGTCATAGTGATGCCAAACAAATTTCTCTGACTCAAAGTCATGTCATGGTTTTTCCTGTCTAACTGGATTCATGACACCTAGGACACTTTTTTGCACAGACTGTTATCCAGCCAGCCCGGACCTCCCTGAGCTCTCACAGTGGTGAGGAATCCAAGCTGAGCCACTGAAAATATTTTTGCAGTGACTGTAGGAGCACATGTAATGCACAGAGGATAGAGCCACTCAGGATGCTAAACCTGGCAACAAGGGTCAAATAGACTCCACTGCATTTCTCATGCTTGGGTGTGCAGTAAGAAACTAAGTGCAGTTCCACAGGGTCCATAAAATCGTTGTCTTTCTTTAATAGATTACAAAGCTGCACTTACTAAGATGACCCTGAATTTAACTGGATACCCTTAAGGAGATTCTGTTCCCCTTTTTGCCTTGATCAGACATGTTCATGAAGGTTTCTCCTCCTGGTAATTTGGCCTGGCTGGCTTTGAGGGCTCTGCTCTTGTGCCACAGGAGGGTGCTGGCACTATGGCATGAACGCAGGGAATCTTGCAGAAGTCAGGGGTGAAGGGAGAAGTAACCCAGGGAAGGGTGAACAACTATTCTCCAACTAAAGCATCTTTCAGCTGCAGCTGCTGTTGCTTCAGGGAATGGGAGTTTTCATAGAGGTATCATTATGAGTAAATTAAAGGTCAGAATATGAAACTTTAGGCATCTCCCACACTCTTTTAGGGAAGTCTTAACAGTACTGTGTATGATGCTTTAATCTGTAATGCTTTGTACTTACTCCTTGTGTGCAAAAACCATGGCTGAAATAAGACTAAGGGTCTGATTTCCCAACAGGCAACTTTTAATTCAACCATTGTGAAATCTGTCACTGTAAAAGAGAGTAAATGTGAACAGTTGTTTCTAATACCTTTTTCTCTGTTGATAAAACAGATGAAAAACTGAAACTCCTGAAGAGATTAGAAAGGAATCTTGTGCATTCACAAGGTGATAAAAAGGCTGAAAACTCGTCCCAGGAGTCCACAGATGAAGATACACAAGGTAAAGAGGATTTATTTTATTTTTCACTGATACGTAATTTAATCTTATTGCATGTTCAATGAGAGATTCACATCAGACTTGCAGCAGTTCTGTAGCAATTCTGCAGAACTCTGGAAAAAATAGTGAGAAATTATGCAAAAGAGAGAGCAGAGAAAATAATCAGTATGTCCAGATTCATTATTGCTAAATAGTGGCTGCCTCCTGCTCTTGTGGAAGTTGGAGGTTTCAGAAACATGGAATTCTGCTGCAAGATTTCTTCCCAAATAAAAAGTCCTAACTTCTGTGATCTTCAGTGCTTATAGTCCAGCTGAAGCCTGTGTTACAGGGGGAGGCCAAGAACAATCAGTGTACTGTAGGAGCTGCCAGTGCCATGGTACTTACGTGAGCAGTGCTGATGTTCCTGTTTCAAATAATAAGAACTTTCTCACTACACCCCTTTATACAAATTATTCCAACTTCAGATTTTGCTGGTTTTCTCCTATTCAGCCAGCTTGGCAGAGAGCTGTGAGGCAAAAGCACTTGACAATGATTCTTGCATTTCAAAGCCTTGATTTTTACCTACATATCCTATAGCTATTATTATGAGCAAACAGCTATAGTGCTGTTGTTTCTGATACTGCTGGCACATTTTTCTTTAATCTGATGAAAAACTTTGTCTATGCAGACAGTGATGGAGAAGATTTAGGAAGACAGAAGACTGAAGGCCAATTACTTGGAGGTAGGACAAAGTCACAACAGTATTGTTTTTACTAAAGATAACCAATATAAGCAAGAAAAGATGAATAATTTCTGGCATTCTTTGGTTTGACATTTGAGCAAACAAGCCTGTACAGACATAGGAAAATGACCAGTCAGAATCTGGCTGGATGAAAGGCATTTCCTACAAGATGAAGCTCAAGTCATACCAATGCTTACCCATGCCCTGTGCTTAGAGTTTAACCAGGAGAATAGCAAAACCTGCTGTGGTGGGAGAAGTCCTGCTGCCTGGATCTGCACCACTGCCGTTGAAATGCAGCAAAAGAGCTTTGAAAATACCTGTTACAGCCACTACTTACAGGGGTTGCAGTCAGCCCTCAGCACTGACCAGAGATCAGAGAGAACCACACCTTGGGTCTTCTTCCCAAGGCTTTTCCTTTCCTCCCAAAGGAAAAATGGAAAATAAGTACTATGCAGCTGAAGAAAATGTGCTGCGTCAACACACAGAAATAGCTGTCAGCTTATGGTGTAGAAACACAGATATAAAACAATTAAAGCTTTAATCACTTAATGTCTTAAATTGATCTCAGCTCAGATGTAAGGCTGGCTCACTTAAACTGACATTAGGAGATCTAATTTTTCTCACAGGAGTCTGATTCCACCTGAGCCTAGATATTGAGAGATGGAATGTGAGGTGTTAATAATCCATTTATGTTTCCTGCATTCATACTGCATAACCCACAGCTAAGATGCCCTCTCTAATGGCTGGAGCTGGGATCTGCCTTGTCCCTTTTACACAATCACACTAATTTCAATAGAGGTGCATGGGCTAGGACTGGTGGCAAGCTATGTGTATTCATCAGGGGCATTAATCTGTATCATCTATGTGTAATATTTTAGGTGTACCAGCAGAGGTCGTTCCCTACACGGATTCAGGTAAACATTCCCAGATAATCTCATCCTCCTGAAAGGAAGATTCTAACTGTAGTTTCTTCTTTCTTATATATTAAAAAACACCCGTACAGTTTGGTTCTAGCTTCAGTTCTAGCAACTGGACACGGAGCCCATCAATCTCTTACTGCCCAGCTGTTGCAAAGAACCCGGGATCACTGTGACTAGTCAGTTTTATTCTTATCTGGTTTTGGGCTCTTTTAACTTCCCTGATTTCCTGGCACTTTCAAGTAATGTTTTGTCTATACTGTGTCACCAAATATGCAAATACTGGCTGTGCTTGCTAGTGCTGATAATGACGGGAAACAAGGTATTTGTATTTTACCATCAGAAATAAGGAAACTATGTTGCTTTTCAGCGATTACCAGAAGAGAAGATTCAATTGCAGATGGTAAGTACAAACAAGCAGCTTTTTTTTTGTGAGTGCTGCCTTTCAGAACTAAGTTTTGATTAGTGATGATAGCTATACTAGCTCCTTGATACCCAGATATTTCCTTATCAAAAGGTGGAAATTTGAGAATAGTTATTAAAATGCATTAACAGAAGAAATACCGTGCAAGTCATCCCATGACACAAAGGTGCAGTGGGACTATTGCATTTAGGAGGCAGAGTAAAGCAGAACTCACCCAGCATGAATTGGTATTCTGATAAATTCTGGATCTGTGGATCATTCATACAAGTGCAGAGAGGAACATTTGTGAGTCAGGCTAGTGCAACACTATGTTAACATTAATAATCAAATAACTGAGTTTGTCCCCAAACCAGAACTTGTTCAATCCAGAACACTGAAATAATCAAGAATTTAAAAATACGACTCCAGTATCAGGTGACCCAAACCAGAATTTTTTGTCAAAAGTTGAGTTGCTTCGTGGTTTAAAAGCACAGCAGCAAGAGCCTATAGCTCATCTGGAATACGTTTCCAGTACTCACCTGTTACATCTTTAGAGAAAATGAAGTTCACTGCCAGGCAGCGGTTGCCTGTATGCACAGACCAGTGTAAGTGAAATCAGCACCTAGAACTAGTGATGAATCAACTCCCAAAGGCTGACACACAGCAGCCTGCCCAGGGGTCTTCTGTGAGCAGCAAACAGAAAAAGGAAAAAAGCCTTCTGCTCTGCACATGTCATTGCTGATCTGGTAAAACATTGAGCTCTTGGGGACAATACGGTTGGAAAAAGAACGCAATTTGGCAACTGCACACAACTGGCATTGGGCGAAATACTCTCTATTTAAGCCTCTAAAAACATCTAGCTTGTTGTTATGTTATTCTTTCTATGTATCAGTATGCTAGCTCAGGAGAGTAATTGCCAGCTACAGTTCTTAATTTTGGAGGTACAGAAATACTTCAGCATCAGGCATAAGTAGATTGATGGTTCTTATATGCTTGGTAATGAAGATGGTTGTATTATGGTGGCTGTGATTGTGCAAAGCACCCAAGAATCAGACTGAATCTTCCTTGTACTACTGCTTCACTCCCACTAATTCTGAGACTACCAATTGTCTCAGACTAGATAGAAAAGACTCGGAGTGCTTTGAAATAATTCTGTATTGTTAATGGAACCATCTGATTATGCCTTTTTAAAAACAACCAACCTGCTTTTGGGGGTGATTTAAAGATTGACAACTTGAGCTGAAAGCCTCCTAGATCTTTTCCTTTGAACAGTTTTATATCTATTTTGTTCTGAGAATCGATTAAAGAATTCCATGGTGATAAAAGGCATTTCTTTTTTGTAGCATATGACGAGAACACTCACCTCCATCAGTGGACAGTTCGATGGATGGGCATACGTAAGGATGGTAATCTTTTTAAATTTATTTTTTTCTTTCAATTCAATTGACGCCAACCCTGTTAAACCTTAGTCCATGAATAAGATCTCTGGTTCAAAAAACCCCTCTGTTTTTTGACATGAGTACTTTGTTGAAATGCATCAAGGCTTCTTGATGAAAATCATCACAGCTTCTTGTAACACGTGCATGGATGTTTTGTAATTGAACCTGGTGTACAAGACATCTTGTGGAAATAGACTGTATTAACTGAGCCATAGATACACTGTATCTTAAGGTGTATTTGTAAGGGCTGTGCCTGCAGTTGTGACCTGATTTTCCCCTCTCTATTTCAGACGAATTCTTTCATTTTGTAATTCTTTGCTTTGCAATTGGAGCTTTACTAATTTGCTACTACTACTACAAAGGTAAGGCAAGACTTCAACAGAAGGATAAATTGTTGCATACTGGAAAAGCGATCAAAGCCAAACCTTTAGTTTCTTGCCTTAGATTGGACTATTTCGGTTGGAACTGGTTTGGTCACCTTTGCTTCCTTGGAAACCACCGGGATCTACTTTGGTCTAGGTAAGTGTATCTACAGCAGACAACTCTGTATCTGCACTAAGGGTACAAGGTCACACAGTCATTGAGCAATGCAAATCCATAGAATGGCTCATGCTGTGATGCTGTACGTCACCATGGAGTGATCCTGTAACATCTCATCCACCATTCCAGTGTGGCTAGAGACAAATGTGCCTTAGCGACAATGAAGGGAAAGGCTGACTCATTTTTCATTCTCAATGATCACAAGACCCTGAGTCACCTCTTCCCCCAGCAATGGCTGAATGCTAAGTTGCCATGACAACAGACAATTTTAGCAGCAGAGCAGCCTTCCCAGATACACTCTATAAGGTGCTGAGGCACACTCAGGCTGCCATTCAACCCCTGGCACTGAGGCGGCTGAACCGGGATGGTGGCAGCTACTGAAAATACTATTAAAAATATGGGCATTCTCAGCTATTCCATGGGATGTGGCAAGAAAGGTGCAACTAGCAGCAAGTCACAGTTTCCCAACTGAGAACAGGAGTCACCGCTGTAATCCTGGGCTAACGTTTTTGGTAGGTTGTGGCTGGTCCTCAGAAACCAGCCTGGTCACAACTTTCTTATTAATGATATTGCACACATGCTTGTTTAAATAGGGATCTTGGGTTCATTGATACTGCAAATGCCAGTGTTTGGGTTTTGCCATTTTTCTATGTTTTATGTTGCTGTCTGTCTCACCCTGACAAAATGTGTTTGTTTCTGCCATTAGTGTACCGAATTCGGAGCGTACTTAACAGCTTTGTTCCTCTGATTGACAAATTCAGGCTACCAGGTAACGGTGACCTGTTACTGACTGCATGCATAGTCCTTGGATCTTTCTGGGTGCTTCATTTTAGTAAAGTCTTAAGATGAACTTCTCCAAATTATGATTTCCCATCTTCCTAATTAAAAATAAAGAAAAAAAAAAGTAAAAATATTTCACTCTAGTTCATTATAGCTGCCTGGGGTTGAAAATGAATCATTCTTGACTCTCCTTGTGGCAGAGCATTTTCACATTTCTAATACTCTGCCTGGTGTGGGATACTGTTTCCTGACAATGTCTGAATAAGAATTCTATATCTCAATTAAAAACAGAGGGAGTGGGAGTAGGTTTCTCATGCTGGGTCTTCAGACAGACTCCAGGCTCGTATTTGTCTGTGTTCATGAACGCAGAACATGAAGAATGCTGAACAGCTGTATAGATATGTGACAATTTGCAAACAATAGTCCTGACATTCATCTTTTCCTTCATCATGCAGGTATGAGGAAGGCTGACTAGGAGGAGCATTTCAGGAGAGTTCCACAGAACCCTGCTGTCCGAATTTCTAGTATTAAAGAGCTGCTTTATGAGGTGAACACACAAACCTAATGGCTAATGTGAAATAACGAAATGTTAAACCATAGAAAGACATCATTCCTTCCCCACAAAAATAAAGCTGAAACCTCAGTACAGGGTCCTACTCTTTCTGAAGTGAGTCATGGCTCAGCAGAGCTCATAGACAATCTGGACGTAGGGTTCTATTAATTGCATTAAATATAAACACACTCTCCTTCCCTCCCCAGTACAACCATGTTAGCCTGCCTATGGTTTATCAAAATCAACACAATGACCACTATTATCCTTCACTGTTTCTGGATGTTTCAGTAGGAATCTTGGCACCCACAAAGCTGCCTCCTCTTCACCCTGTGATGCCACAATCCAGGCACACATCAGCCTCTTGCTTACACAGCTGAGCCCTAACAGTGCAACAGCACTGAAGCAGATTAATTTATTGTGGCAGAACTCAATACAGTGGGCGTATAATGATTTCACCCCATGAAAGCTGGGTGAGATGTAACATGCAGTGACAATAATGATGCAGGAATGAGATTATTAAGAGCAGCAAATTTCATCTCACTTTCTGAGGGGAAAAATAAAGTGCTTAATTTAACTCATCCCCAACATTTTTCTTTGAGTAAAAGAAAGTGCAACTTTAACATCCCTTTCATTTTACAGGGGCATGTTGCACGTTACATATGTAGGGCTAATGCAGTTATACCCATAGAAAAATGAAGGCACCAAGTCATACAGAGAGAGCCATAAAACATCGAACTGTAAGGAAATGTATATCTAAAAGCCATTAAATCCAAACAACCCAGAGTTTTAGAGAAGCAATTTCAAGCCTTGCTTAGAAAATTAAAGCACTTACTTACTTTTCAGTTGCACTTAATTCTAAGCACCAGCGTGGATCATTCTTGTTCACTGCAGCTCCATTTCCACATCCAGAAATGCCAACAGATGTATGCAGGCCTGCACCCACAGAGCCTAGCAGGTATCTAGCATGGCAGGGGTTAAGCCAAGTAAGGACGGATACAATTTATTTGTAATATTTATATTCTCATTTACATGTCTTTGTAGAAATTCTGTCATACCAAGGTACTATATCTTCTGTGTTTATAGTCTGCAAATAGTCTTGCTCAGCCCAGTATGGTGGCGTTAATGTCAAATGGTTTTTGGGTGAACAGAAAGTCCATGCACAGTCACCCTGCTCTGATGAAAATCAGTTTCCTTTGCTGTGCAACATCTTTCTGAAAAGTAATTTGTGGAATAGTCAGAATGAGAAGCATTTTAGTACTAAATATATTTTCCAATCTGCTTTTTGACTGCAAATAGCAGTCAACAAAATGAGTTTTTTTCATAAACAAGCTGCTTAAGGGTAAAATAACAAAACATTTAAAACTCATCCAGTGGAACCCATCATGTAAGATGAACTCTCCCAGCTGACAGCAGCTCACATAAGAAGAGTCAGGTCTAAAGAAAAAATCAACTTGCATATTTAGTTGCATCCTTTCAGGTACCTGGGAACTTCCTGCTCTTCTTTCAGCTCCTTCCCCAGTCCATCTCTGCAGTTTAAACATCCTGTCTCTTGACCAGTGACAACACAGTAAGTGGTCTTGCACATCACCCTTACTGCAACACTAGCCAAGCACTCAAAAGTACAAGTTGTTCAGGAGGCTTTCAACCCCCTTAACTGAGGCTGTGTTCACTGAGCCTCCATTCTCCAGGTCCAGCAGGTCCCTCCCGTACCCAGGACTCATCATTCAGTCCCACAGGTCCCCTGGCCCTCCCCCTTTCCCTAGTACATCGCCCCCTGCTTCGACATTACCCAGCATGTATGGTATTTCCTCTTTGCCTTTGGCTTTACATGGCAAGGACAAAACCGGAAGAGCAGAAGCAAAGTCACAAGTTCCCCTCCTGCAGTCCATGTTCCTGCTTTTCACTATCCAGTGTCCAACACCCTCTGCAGAACCCCCTTCAAGATGAGTTTAATCTTCAGCAGTAAGTTGGACCAAACCTGAACGAGTTACTCAATTCACTCTAGGCTGCAATGCCCGACGCCTATTTCCCTGCTGAAGCACAGCCCACTCAGACCTTCAGCAAACACCCAACCACTCCAGTGCCAAAACTCACAGCAGGGAAGGATAGTTGCAAAGCAGAGACTCTCACAGCAGGCAGGCAAAGGGCTGCTGCCCACACGTTACTAAATAACCTGGAGGTTTTCCAATGACTGTTACCCCAACACTACACAAAACTCTGCAGGCAAACAAAGAGATTAAAACCCAGAAGGTTTTTTTCAGCTGGTATTTTTATTAGAACTCTCTACATAAAGCACCTTTGCCTGCCTTAAACTTACAGTACTTCTCTGAACACTGTTCTTCCGTAATCGCACAAGATGCTTCGAACTACTCCGCATTTCTCGATTTGGACACTGCCACCTTAACAGCTTGCACAATAGCATCTTTATCAATGCCAAACATCTTCAGGAGCTCAGCTGACTTCCCACTGCGTGGTACATGAGATACAGCCAAGCGATTGACTGTGATCCCAGGCTCACCCACCACTACAGCACACACTGCTTCTCCAATGCCACCTGTGGAAAAAAGAAGTTAAATAAGACATGTATTGGCATGTTACCACAGGCAACTTGCAGGTTGTGTGTATATCTGATCCAAAGGTCCATGCAAGCTAAATCCTCAATTCACAAGCTTATGAGAAACATCAATCACAATGTATGTCTGAGTTGCCCATTTGTGAAATGAAGACAATTCCCTGTTTCCAAGGCATTCTGAGGACAAGCAGCCTGCCATTTCTGAAGTACTTGCAAATTGGCAGTGAGAAACATGTACCTCCAGAGGGCACAGAGCTGTCAGGAAGCCCTCACCACTTCAGCATCAGCTACAGAGGGCCAGGTTTAAAATATATTTAGACTGAGGAGTATTTACAATGTGCTGACAGGCTGAACTCCCACCAATCTCTATGGCATTTAAGAGCTCCATCTTTTCAGAATGTCTGTACATGCTGCTAGGCACCTCTCTGAGTTATGCAACACATTCACAGCCTTTGCTCAGAGCTCAGTTCACACCAAATCACTATCAGGGATTTACAGACTGAATCATAATCATACAAAGGATGTAACGGGGAACTGTGTGGCAACAGGAGAGACACTGGAAGCAGGAGTATGAGGAAAGAAGAAAGCACAGGACTAGTGTCAAGAGCATGCGCTCTTGAGACCTGGTAGGAGCGATACCTTGGTCCTACACTTCAGTTAGGGTCTATCAGGCGTTTCACAGCTCCAGACATAGTGTGATTTAAACCAGTCAAAGGGCCTCCAGCTAGAGGCACCTCCATGGATGTGGCTGGTAAGATCAACGTGATGTGGGCCTGCAACACACTCAGGCTTGTGAGTGTGTACACCTGACCTTCCTTGGCTGCATCACACAGAGAGGCATGCCACAATAATTTGCATGTTCCTCACCTCCGACTGTGATGATTTTGATATCCTGCAAATCTACAGTAAAATATTCGTCCAGAGTTTTAAGATAAGCTAGAAGACAATGAGGCTCAGTGATGCTACTATCATCCATACTCTGGAATGAAAGTACTGTGTAACCAGCACTTATGGCAACACCAGCTCACTTCACATACCTGGCAAGAGTGATGCTCGCCTTAAATTAGGATAATATTCTCATAATTATATCTACTAATTTCTATTAGTAGATATCACAGATACCTACTAATGCCATAGTTCACAGCTGCCCCTCTGCTAATTTCTCCATCTCCCCCGAGAAGATCAAGTCTGACATGATTCACAGCTACTCCTTTCACACAGTCTCATCTTCAAGGGACATGTTTGCACAGGCAAGCCCTTGAAAACCTGTGTCAGCAAGACATGTCAGAGAGCAAGCGGCAGCAGATTAACCAAATTAACTCCACTTGGCAGCTGGTCACAAGTGGTGCTCCCCAGGGCTCAGTACTGGGGCCAGTTCTGTTTAATAACTTTATCAATGATCTGGATGAGGGGATCAAGGGCACCCTCAGTAGGTTTGCAGATGACACTGAGCTGGGTGGGAGTGTTGATCTGCTGGAGGGTAGGAAGGATCTGCAGAGGGGTCTGGGCAGCCTGGGTCAATGGAGGACAATTCTATGAGGTTCACTGGAATTTATCCCAGAGTAACTGGAAACTGCCAAATCATCTGATTTCAAGCAACCTGGAATTGCCCTTTTGGATACAGGGAAAACTTAAAAAAACCTGCACAGCTATGGTCTCTCTCATAACTTAAACTCTGACAACTACAGCTGGTGTAAAAGCTATCTGAGAACATTCCATGCAGAATCACTGCCCCACAGCAGGAACTTACAATTTCAGTGAACACAAATGACTCAAGACTTCACTTGGACCAAGCACAAGGAAGGGCACACAAGCTGATCAGAAAGGAGCCCTGATTAACCAATTATATCTGAGGAAACTTTCAATCCTCAGTGCTCAGTGTCATCTTATAATCTTTAAGAGTAATAAGAAAGAATAAAACCTCTCTTTTGCTTTAACCTAATGACAGCAACAGGTCCCAAACTTCTCTCTCAGGTTAGAAGCTGTGAGATTCCAATCCCTGGGGAATAACTGTATGGACTGTGACCTCCTGAACCCAGCATACCTTCATGGTAATGGTCCTCAACAGTGATGATTCTGCCCTTGGTCGCTCTTGCACTTTCCAGTATTGTCTTCTTATCCAGGGGCTTTATAGTGAAGGGATCAATCACACGGATAAAAATCTTCTCTGCAGAAATAGAACAAAATGAATTGCAACATGAATTTGGAGAATGCAAGACAAAGACAATGCAAGCGGTTCAGGCAGCCCCTGCAATCTTTCAGGGCCATTATGAAACCTGCTTACATGAACAGGTACCCCAGGTATCTGTACCAATGGCTTGTCTACCACTGAACCCAGGCAACCCCAATTTTTGTGTATTATTTCTTCATGCATCTGGTGAGATAGTAGCATCTGTCCATGCCGCAGGCAGGACTCATGAGGTAGAAAAGTCTTGGATAAGTGACTCCAGGTAACCAGGAGTGGCTGTCAGCAGCACAGTAATCTAACTGGCTGTGCCACAGATAAGAGCAGAATCCATTCACCAGGAAATCCTTCTTATTCAAACTGTCAATCACAATTTTTTTCCCAGACCTTCATTCCACCTTTAACTTCATTGTCAATCCAAGCAGAATTTCTCCCTGCTGCTTCAGTCCGTATGCATTCCAAATCTTTCATTGCAGCTGCCCACCTATCAGGTATGCCTGTTAGAACTGCCCCAGCCCTGATCATGGCACCCTTAATGTCCCCATCAAACCCAGAATTTGTCCTGTCATCACAAGGCAGGCCCAGATTGCTCATTAAAGCTATGTACAAATGGTGATTGTTTATAAAGAATGGCAAGTTACATGAGGTTTTTTCTGGTCTTGGCTGGCTGAACACTGAGTCAACTCTTATACATAAAGAAGCCTTATATTATGCTGACAATTTTGCGATTGAAGACTCTGTAGTGGCCAATATATTTAAGTTACTAGACTCTGTGCTAAGAGGTTTTCTCTCCATCGTTGGTTATTCACACTTTGAGATCA